TAGACAGATGCAAATAGAATTCAACAATGAATGGTTGGGTGTTCACGGGCCAGAAAGAAATGCCTTCTGCCTGGGCCTCCGAATGCAGATACAACTGCGGGAGAATGCAGATACAACTGCGGGAGAATGCAAAACAAATTACTTTGCAATTTGAAGGTGAACGTGCCAAGGGTAATAGCGTAGGAATGTAAAGCAGATTATAGCAGGTGTGGACTTTTACTCCCTCGGGGAGCTTGCAGCTGAATCTTATTGACTTAAGAGTGATTAAGAGCTGCTTCTTACTGGGTCACAGAGTGCTCCTCGCTGCAGCAGGGAAAAGAAACAGCGCTACAAAAGCAAACTCTAAATTGAAGCTACTGATAGCTCGGGAGGTCTTCATAGTGCCCTTAACTAAGGAACTTTTGAAAAATGCCCTGTGTTCCTTTCACTCCAATTTTTTATGATGATTTTCAAATATACAGAAAATAGAGATGCCTTTTTGTTATACGTCTGAATAAATTGCAGGTATCAAAATTAATCACCCCTAAATACTTCAGCCTGTGTCTTCTAAAAAAATAAGAACATTCACCTCAGAATCACAATACCAATACCACATCTAAGACAACAATTCCCTGATAGTATTTAACATCCAGTCCATTTTCAAGTTATGTGATTGTCCCAAGAAGGTCTTTTAAGCCTCCCCCCACCCCCAAACTAAGATATTGCCTAGGCTCATGCACTGCATTAATGTTTATGCTTTCTAAACTCTGGAATATCACATAAACTTTATGGATTGTGTTGTCATTTCTACTCTACTTCTGTTGTAGAAACCACCACCCCCCCACCCCCGCCCCCAGGGCCCCAAGAGCGGGCTCTTGTTTAACACTCGGAAAAGAATTGTCCGAGGAGACATGTGCTGACAAAGCAAGAGGCTTTATTGGAAGAAGGCCCGGGGGCAGAGAGCAACAGGGTAAGAGAACCCAGAGAACTGCTCTGCTCTCGGGTTTTATGGTGATGGGATTAGTTTCCGGATTGTCTTTAGCCAATCATTCTGACTCAGAGTCCTTCCTGGTGGTGCACGCCTTGTTCAGCCAACATGGATGCCAGACAGAAGGATTCTGGGAGGTGGTCAGGCATGTGGTGTCTCCTTTTAACCTCTCCCGAACCCTTCTGGTTGGTGGTGGCTTATTAGTTCCGTGTTCCTTACCAGGACCTCTTGTCATAAAAGAACTCCTGCAAATGGTTACTATGGTGCCTAGCCAGGGTGGGCAGTTTCAGTCAGTGTGCTTCCACTAAAACTTCTAAAGCTTAATTTTTTTTTGACAATGAAAAGCTGTTTAGCCTACCAATTTTTATCATTCCAGGCAAAACCTTGCTTGTCCTGCTTCACAGTACAGAGCAGAATGAACGCTGTGCCTCTTGCATTTCACTCATGGTTTAATTTTAGATCCTGACCTGCTGAATTGGGTTTTATATGTCCTTCACTCTTTGGTGACCCCTAGAAAGTCGGGCATTTGGCATATAATGGTTTGTCTTTTAAGTTGTCACTGTTAAAAACAAGACAAGAGGCCTAAAATGGAGTCACTTAATGCTCAACTCCACATCACCAAACGGAGACTTATAATGTCAGCCTCTCCCGGAATTGGAATCTTAAACCAGTCAATCAAGGAATCACCTGGTCAGCACTGATGAGATAATCAGCTTGATATATCTATCTCATGACACGACACACCCAGACCCACATCATCCCTTAAAGGAAAGTGACCTTGTCACAACCAATTCACTTTCTGCTAGTATGACTTCCAGGTCCCAACTTCTTCTGCCTGTAAAGTTCTTTAATTTTGTACAGTGCCTTGGAGCTGCTTTCTATCTGTGAGATGGGATGCTGCCAAATTCATGAATCATTGAATAAAGCCTATAAGATCTTTAAAATTTACAGTTGAATTTTTTTAAAACATTACTTCTTTTTTAAATGTTAATTAATGCTGTAAAGAAGAGGAGCAAATATACACAGCTCCCTTAAGTGGTTAGGTGGCCAAGGTAACATTTCTGGAGACTAGTATTAAATGAACTTATTTTAAGTACTTCACAAAATCTTAAGCTCTACTTAAATAACTTCTTGTAAAACCACATATAAACCAATTTTAGCACAATAGCTCATCTGTAAAGTGAGTTCTGCAATCAGTATTGTCCTTTCTTCTCCCAACTCCAAGCCTAAAGGCACAGAGGACTAGAGCACCACGTGACTACTTACTGCTGCTGCTGCTAAGTCGCTTCAGTCGTGTCCGACTCTGTGCGACCCCATAGACAGCAGCCCACCAGGCTCCCCCGTCCCTGGGATTCTCCAGGCAAGAACACCGGAGTGGGCTGCCATTTAGGGGAGTTTAATTCAATGTGTACTTACAGAAGCACCTGTGGAATTAACTACTGCATTCACCTCCAGTTAAATCAAAAATTGTCTGCATGAACATTAAGAATCTATATAGATAACTCCAAATAGCAATGAGGCAGCTAACTTGTAAATCAATGAGGCAGCTAACATCTAAATCTACCATTAACTACCTCTTTGACCTTGGAAAATACCCATCTCACATCACCAGGCCCCCACTCCTACCCTCCAAAATGACCAAGTCTCTATGGCCACTTACAGTTGTAACATTCAATGACTCTAATAAAAAAGATTGTGGGGGGTGGATTAAATATGTGAAGACTGCATGCTGATTCCAGGGTAAGGTGGATTACATTAAACCAATGATCAACCAAAGTTGACCTGAGGACAAGGTCTAATCTGCCCCCTAGTTTGTTTTGGTTCTGATTCAAACTAGTTCTCAAAATATAAAATCCTCAAATTTTACATTATAGTAATACTTTTTCATTTCTTGTATTGGGGTAAAAAACACATAACTGAAATGGTTAAGGTGGAAATTTTTAAAGGTACAGTTCAGTAGCGTTAAGTATGTTTACAATGATGGCAAACATCTCTAGGACGATTTCATTGTGCAAATCTAAAATTCTATACTCATTAAACAATACTCTCTTTTCCCCCAACTCCCAGGCCTTGGTAACCACCATTCTATTTTCCGTTTAGGTGGATTTGACTATTCAAAAACTTCATCCAAATGGAATCATCCGGGCTCCCTTCAGCAGCACATATACAAGTGGAATTATCCAATATTTGTCTCTTTATGACTGCCTTCTTTTTTTTTTTTAGGTCTTTATTGAATTTGTTACAATATTACTTGTTTTATGTTTTGGTTTTTTGGCCATGAGGCACATGGGATCCTAGCTCCCGGACCAGAAATCAATCCCCAACCCCTGCACTGGAAGGCTAAGTCTTGACACTGGACCGTCAGGGAAGTCCCATGCCTTACTTCTCTTAGTGTGATTTTCTCAAGGTTCATCCATGTTATAGCATGTGACATTTTCTTCCTTTTTAAGGCTGAATAGTATTCCACTGTATGTATTTGCCATACTTAATTTATCCATTCATCTGTCAATGGACATTTGGGCTGCTCCCACAGATAAGACTGTCAGATATTTCTCCAGAAAAGGTGGGTTTATTTTGGGTCAGCAGAGAATTGCAATCCAAGGTCTGCAACCATGGTGAGCCATATGCAAGTCCCCAGAGAGGAATGGAAGGAGCATGCTTTCATGGAGGAGGAAAGGGAGTTGGGAGGGCTCAGGAAACAAACAGTTCATGACTTTCCACTGGCTGAATCCTTGCCAGGAGAGAAGAGTCTGTTTCCTTTCCATTGGACTCTGCTATCATCCCACGGTGTGACAGCTTCCCCTCTGGTCTCCCAACTCTATTTAATTGAGGTTTATTAATTTTAAAGTTTCCATAGTGGCTACATCATTTTACAATTCCACCAATAATGCACAAGTGTTTCAATATCTCCATATCCTCATCAACACTTGTCATTTGTTTTATTGATAGTAGCCATCCTAATGGGTATGAAGTGATATTTTGTTGTGATTTTGATCTGCATTTCTCTGATGATTAGAGATATTGAACATCTTTTTGCATACTTGTTGGCCATTTGTTAATATATACCATCTTTGGAGAAATTTCTGTTGAACTCCTTTGCCCATTTTTAAATTGAGTGATTTTTGTTGTTGTTGAGTTGTAGAATTCTTTATATATTCTGGATATTAACCGCTTATCAGAAATATGATTTGCAAATATTTTCTTCTATTCCATAGGTTCTTTTCACTTTATTAACCATGACCTTGATGCACAAAAGTCCCATTTGTCTATTCTTACTTTTATTACCTGTGCTTTTAATGTGATATCTAAGAAATCACTGCCAGTCCAAAGTCATGCTTTTCTTCAGTTTTCTTCACTTTTATAGTTTTAGGTTGTAACCTGTTTTTGTATGGCCTGTGAGCTAAGAATGATTTTTTTTTTTTTTTTTTACAGTTTTACATGCATGATTGGGAGGAAATTCAAAAAATAATATTTTGTGATACCTGAAAATTCTGTAAAAATAAAATTTCGGGATCCATAAAAGTTTTATTTACATAAAGTCATCTTAGTTCATTTATATACCATCTGACTGCTTTTGCAATACAAGGCGGAACTGGGTAGCTGCAACAGAGACAGGACCCACAAAGCCTCAAATATCCCACCTTTTACCAAAGAAGTTTGCTGACTTCTGTGTTAGGCTATTTTTAATCATGAAACTTTAGATATATTAAAAAAACAAAACAGTGAAAGAGGAAACTTAAAGTCACCAATACATATGTATTTTGTGATTAAGAAAAATTATTAGACTTCAAGGGTTTTTTTAGACTTTTCTATTTGTTTATTTTTCATTTAACTTTTAAAACATAAGTTTTAACTTTTAAAAGACTGCTCATGTTAAATATACACTTCAGTGTTTAATCCTTATGTTATTAGATGGTCAGGTTGAATCAACTGACAAAATAACCAGAATATGGGAAGACCCACTTTGATTTTCTCCAATGAGAGAGGACTCCTCCTACACCTAAGTTGTTGAAAGAATCTGACTTGAGGGAAATCTTCATCTGGGCGCACTGCCTGTGAAAAAATCAGCCTTCTTTGTTCTCATGCTTTTCTGCTAACATTATTTTGGGTTTCCATGCAGTTGAATGACACAGTTAAAACCAAAGATTGGAATTTAGAATAAAGACTCAGGAACTTTTCAAACTTTAAACAGCAAAAACTTACTGCTAATGTTGAAGACATTAAATCTTATTTATCCTCTTCACTCTAGCTAACTGAACATTTTATCTTATGAAGGTTGGGCCTTAAAACAGACACTTCCCTTTGACTTGCTGGATTAATATAACTTCTTTTTACATTCAGTTCGCTGCCCAAAGAAACAATACAATGTTAATTCAACTTGGATGACATTTATTATGGCAGAGAGAGAAAAGATGTCTTGCCTTCTTCCCAACAAACACCCCAGGTTATCTCGTTTTTCAGAGACTGAGGACTAGTGAGGGTTACTTGTCCTAGCCCTCCTCCCTAAATTCCCAAGTCCCCAGCCAACAACAGCTGTGTGTCAACTGCTTCCAATTCAAGAACAAAGAATATGGCTCCCAGTGTTAAAGAATCCTCTCTTCCCCTGAAAATATTCACCTCCTAAGCCCCAGAGCCTGTGAATATTACCTTATGCGGCAAAAGAGATCTACACATGTGATTAGGATCTTAAGACGGGGAGATCAGCCTGGATTATCCACGTGGACCCTACATGTAATCACAAGGGGCCTTAGAAGGAGGCAGCAAGAAGGTCAAAGAGAAGCAGGCCCTGTGGTACCAGCAGCGGGGACCATGTGATGTAGCCACAGCCAAGGAAGGTGGGCAGCTTCTGGAAGAAACCAGCCTTGCTGACACCATGACTTTAGCCCAGTGAAAAAGACTGGCTTTTGGCTTCAGAACTGTAAGAAAATACATAAATATGTATAAACCACCAAATTTATGGTACTTTGTTATAGTAGCAACAGAAAATCAATATATTCTCCTTTAAGCAGTCTTTGAAGTGTGGTAACAATATATATAAAATATTTGTCAAAAAAAAAATATTTGTCAATTAGCATAGTTAATGAATGGACACATACATCTAAACTCTATACTTTTACTTCCAAGTTGAGCTCTGAGAGACCCAATTTCCAGGCTTTGTAGGAGCAATATTCCAGGGTGATGCCAGGAGTCATGGTTGGAGGATTCAGAGAAAGGAGCAGAAGGCCTTGTGTGGGAGAGATCGGTAAGGAAGCAGAACTGACCAACCTAAAATGTGTCTCTTGACATGAGGAAGAAACGCAAGGCTCGGAAAGTTTTTCTTTTCAACTCTCACTTATCTGCCTAAAAGAATTTAGACAGAGGGCCTATTTCAGAAAAAAGAACTATCACCAGAGTTATCTATATAGCAGGCGTCCCCAGCCTCCAAGCTAAGAACCAGTACCTCCTTTCAAGTCAGCAGCAGCATTAAAGTGCACGATAAATATAACACGCTTAAATCATCCCCAAACCACCCCACCCTTTCCCAGTCCGAGGAAAAGTTGTCTTGCACAAAATCGGTCCCTGGTGCCAAAAAGTTTGGGGACTGCTGATCTGTAGTATAATATGAACTAGGTGTGGTAGACAGGAAGGAACCTAGAAAAGTCTGTTAAAATTCTCCTGTGTCCCATTGTTTGTTTATCCCAGCAAATATGTGTTTACTAAACATCTGCTCTCTTCATTCTTCTTGTGAATTTACTTCTTTATTTTTCAAGTCCCAGACTTCTACTATCGTCTCCCTGATGCAGGATGACCTCATTTTACTCTCTGGAATCTACTGTATTTGGATTCCCTGTACATCATGGGCTTCTCTGCAGTTCAGATGGTAAAGAATCTACCTGCAATGTGGGAGACCTAGGTTCAATCCCTGGGTTGGGAAGATCCCAGGAGAAGGAAATGGCAACGCACTCCAGTATTCTTGCCTGGAGAATCCCCATGGACAGAGGAGCCTGGCTACAGTCCATGGGGTTGCAAAGAGTCAGACATGACTAAGCAGCTAAGCACAGTACATTCATAATTAAATTTTTTTCATCTGTTTATCTGTCTTATGTCATTTTAATTATTCAACCAGCCAAAAGAATTAAGAGGGGAAGGGGAAAATATTTTCTCCTCCCAGCAGATTGCTTCTGGTCCTCTTGTGTACAAGTCTTTAAGTACCCTGAGCCTCTATGAGGTTAATTTACATAATCCCTAAGATCTCTTCCAATTCCAAAATTCAGAGCTGAGGCAAAACATGGTTTAACTTTGAATTTCACATTAACATGTTCCTGCTGTTACAGTCACTCTTCAGCCAACCTTTTCAGCCTCCCTGTCCACCCAGAGCCTGCATGTCAACCACACACTTATCTGCATTTGTGTACACACTGCTTCTTCTGCTTAGAATGATCTTCCCCAGCTTCACCCCTAAGCACTCAGGCTCATCTCGCAACACTCAAATTAAGAATCACCATCTTTGAGGAGCTCTCCCAACTTCTCAAAGCAGAATGGCCAACTCTACCTTCATGTGGTCAGTTCAGTTCAGTTCATTTCAGTCACTCAGTCATGTCCAACTCTTTGTGACCCCATGGACTGCACCAACTCCTGGAGCTTACTCAAACTCATGTCCATTGAGTCAGTGATGCCATCCAACCATCTCATCCTCTGTCATTCCCCTCTCCTCCTGCCTTCAGTCTTTCCCAGCATCAGGGTCTTTTCCAATGAGCCAGTTCTTAACATCAGGTGGCCAAAGTATTGGAGTTTCAGCCTCAACATCAGTCCTTCCAATGGACACTCAGGACTGATCTCCTTTAGGATGGACTGGTTGGATCTTCTTGCAGTCCAAGGGACTCTCAAGAGTCTTCTCCAATGCCACAGTTCAAAAGCATCAATTCTTCGGCGCTCAGCTTTCTCTCACATCCATACATGACCACTGGAAAAACCATAGCTTTTTTTTTTTATTAGTTGGAGGCTAATCACTTTACAATATTGTAGTGGTTTTTGTCATACATTGACATGAATCAGCCATCATAGCTTTGACTAGATGGACCTTTGTTGGCAAAGTAATGTTTCTGCATTTTAATATACTGTCTAGGTTGGTCATAGCTTTTCTTCCAAGGAGCAAGCATCTTTTAATTTCATGGCTACAGTCACCATCTGCAGTCCCCCTGTCTGTCACTGTTTCTATTGTTTCCCCATTTATTTGCCATGAAGTGATGGGACCAGATGCCATGATCTTTGTTTTTTGAATGCTGAGTTTTAAACCAGCTTTTTCACTCTCCTCTTTCACTTTCATCAAGAGGCTCTTTAGTTCTTCTTTGCTTTCTAACATAAGGGTGGTGTCATCTGCGTACCTGAGGTTATTGATATTTCTCTCGGCAATCTTGATTCCAGTTTGTGCTTCATCCAGCCTGGCATTTCACATGATGTACTCTGCATATAAGTTAAATATTCAGGGTGACAATATACAGCCTTGATGTACTCCTTCATGCTGTCAGAGAACTATTAAAGCAGGGAGCAAATTATAGCATGACTATTTGTTTCCATTTCTGTTTCCCCAAACCAGGATGTGAGCTACTCTATGCAGGTACTCTGCTTGATTCATATTTACACCTCTGGCACCTACTACTGCGCTAGGCACACAGCAGACACTCCTATTGTGTCTGTGGACTGAATAAATAAGTTATGATTTACTGAATTCTGAAGAATCTACTTGGGGCTGGGCAGGAGTGCGAATTGGGGGGGGGATGGAAGGGAAGTACAAGAGGACAGGAAATTTGTTTCTGCAAGACTTCCAGTGCCCTGGAGAAAGAAATGAGGCTGATGTGTGTGATGATTTAATTCAAGGCTGTCCTCAGATACTCATTGTACATGCAATCTAGCATTTCTCTTGACCTTGCTTCAAAGTCAGTTTTTAAATGGAATTAACAGTATGAGCTGCCTCACACAGCAATCTGCTGATTAGTCTCTTAACTGAGGTAGAAGGCAGGCAGCCATGCGTGACTTGTCAGCTTTGCATCCTTGTGTGCTGCTGGGCAGAGGCCACAACTTTAGAATTTTATGGTAGCTTAGTTAACAACTCTGTCCTTACAGACCAGTCTGAGTAACACTCATAAAACTGTCTACATTCAGAGTCCTTTCTTAGGCATAAGAAATACCCTCCCTCTGCTACTTGGGTGATCTGGATATGCCTTCCATTTTCTTGAAACAAAGTAAAAATGACAAATCTACTCAGAAAACCTCCTTCAAGTGGAAATGAGGTTATCATTTCCATACTTTAGAAAAACCTATGTAGTATTTTCACAACATATAGACTGATGGTAATTTACAGCTTGTCTTTGATCATGCATTTCTCTTTATAATGTAGTCATCTCTGTATGTTCCTTTGCTGTATTATTCCATATTCTTTTGTCAGTTTAGAGTTTTAATACTTGAGATTCAGCTTATTATTTTTTGGCACCACTTATTGTAAATTTTCCACATACCAGACACTATGCTAAGGGCTTTACAAATCTTTTAGTCCTCATAACAAACTCAGGCACTAAGCATTATTTTACTCTTTATTTTTTAGAGGAGGGAGCTGAGATTTTTAGAGGCTAATTAACTTTTCTGAGGGCACAAGGCTAATAAGACGTGGAAGCAAGACCCATGAGAGTTGGAGAGTTGTGTCTGTTGGAGAATTCTCTCCTTTTCAATTCTTGGCGGGGGGGGGAGGGGGGAAGCAGTTAATTTATAATAGTATATTAATTTTAGGTGTACAGCATAGTGATTCAGTATTTTTTACAGATTATATTCCATTAAAAGTTATTACTGTTAGGTAGTTAAAATAGGGAAAAGGAGTCCAGAATGGCGGTGGCTAAAAGACCTGGAAGGGAAAAACCCGTGAAAATAGAACGATGAGCCCTCATGCCTTGAAGATGGATTTCCCTGCTATTATCTAAATAAAATAGAGCTCTAACACTGATTTATCGAACAGCTATAACACGGTCCGCTCGAGACCTGAGAGCTATAACGCGGTCTGTCCAAGACCCGAGAGCTGTGACCCACCGAGGGGCTTTAATGTCCGCCGCTCCAAACCTTTGTTGTGGCGAGACAAGAACCGAGGCGCGTACACTCGCCTGCCGTCTACGTGCCGCGACTCGGGTTTAACCTGGCTGAGACGACCTCCGTGCAGAGGAGGCCACGCGCAGCCGGAGCCCAACTCGGCGGAGCTCCGCGGTAGAAGCAGAGCGCGGAAAAACCCAGCGCCGGGGAAGGCCCGTCGTGCTGGGAACCGGACTGCGGGAAACCAACTCAGCAGGAAGCCCACGCGGCTCAGCCTCAGATTGCAGAAGACCTCCGGTTAAGGTAGGAGGGCCTGGCTCCTGTGGCTGGAGGGACATATGCCTAATGAAATCTTAACTCCTTTACAATCTCTCGGTTCTTGTTTCCTCGAACCCCCTGCAAACAGACGGGCGGCAGTGGGCGCAACTGAGGGACTCTGGGGAGGCTATTCTTCGGTTTGTCCCAAAGGCACTGTCTGCTGGGCCCCAGGAGCTGTTACCCAAGCCGGTGGGGGTTCATCTGTCCTTACTCTTCTCTGGGCCAAGAATCAGACCAATGAAAACTGTGAGCACCGGTCAAGAATTTAGCAAATCTTCCAGCAGGCTATGAAAGGGGATTGCTTGGCACGTTTTTCCCACCGCTTTTCCCTCCTTTCCTTCAGCTCTTTCTCCCGGGACTCGAGCCTGACCAAAACCCAGGATGCCCGGCTTCAGGAGCTAATCAAGCTCAGGCTCTGATGTCTCATTGCAAAAATTCAGTGAGAGACAAGGCGATAGGTAAGAGGTGGATTTGTCAGGATTCACAGATAAGCGCCCATTCTACAGGGCACAGGCCATAGAATGTGGCCTGGCTAGGTTTTGCGAGAGGGGTGGTGGTGGTGGTGTTAATTCATATGCTAATGAGTGGGAAGATCATCCCAGCCATTGGGGAACCACCCACTCCTCTGTCTTTTGTCAGTGCCTTAGAGCTGCTCTGTCACCTCTGGGTGTGTCTTTTGGTTTACAGATTAGAGTTAAAGTTTACTTAAATTTGTCTTGTTATCTTGGACCCAATTGATTTTAATTGGTTTACATTATACCTTTGTGCTACCTCATTCTTTCAAAGGTTCTGCTCTGCCCCCTCCCCCCCCCGCCCCTTCCCTCCTGTTTAATGCTCCTTTCCTCAGCCCCATCAGGACCTACAACATTGCCTCTACAATCTTCTAGAGGGATAACCAGAAAATAGCTGGCCTAGGGAGGGAAGTACTGTATAATATCCAACCCCTTGATCAGTAGCACTGGTCAAGGAGACCTTGGAGACGCCCAAAATCTCCTCGGGGGTCCGAGGAGGTCATCAAGCCTTGACCTGCCTAGGGATCTGGTCCTAGGTTGTCACGCCTCAACCTGCTCAGGGATCCAATTCTCGGGAGGCTGTCACGCCTCAGCCTGCCTGGGGATCTGCACCCTGACCCAGGGATGCCTGGCTCTCAGGTTGCAACAGTACTGGGTAGGATAAGCTTCAGAAAGCCTATTAGTTTTTTGTTTTCTTCTTTTTCTTTTCCTCCCTGTCATGACTGTCTTTCAGATGGGAAATAACCAATCCACTTCCCAGCAGATGCTCTTGAGATGCATCCTTGATAACTGGAAGCTGTTCGATCCTCTAACTCTGCGGAGTCGTTTAAAATTCTTTTGTGCCACTGCATTGCCACGGTATCCACTGGGGGACGAGGAACACTGGCCTGAGGATGGGACTTTAAATTACAATACCATCCTGCAATTAGAATTATTTTGCAAAAGACAAGGGAAATGGACAGAGATCCCCTATGTCCAAATTTTCTTTAGACTAAGAAATATGAAGGAACTCTGTCTTAAGTATGGGATTGTTGTATGCCCTAAAAGTGAGCCCACTAGGCAAAGGGTGTTAGGCACAGGCAACCAAGAGAAGGAACCCCCCACCCCCCATGAAGGCTCACCTCCCACAGCTCCCAAGTTGCCTGGTGCTTCTTCCTTGTATCCAAGCGTGCCCCCATATCCAGGAACACCCCCTCCACAAAAGCCAGCTCAAGTATGTCCCTTAGTTAAAACTGGAGGAGAAAAAAAAAAAAAAAAACTGGAGGAGAATTCGGACCAACCCGGGTCCATAAGCCCTTCTCCCTCTTAGAACTAAGACAGATCAAACAAGACCTGGGAAGCTATACAGATGACCCAGGCAAATATATAAATACGTTCCAACATATTACCTTGGCCTTTGACCTGACATGGAAGGACATCATGGTCATATTCAGTCACACTTTATCTGACCCTGAACATACTAGGGTCTTAAAGGAAGCCCAGAGGTATGCAACAGGGCTTCACATGTCCAGTGATAAATACCCAGTAGGGGAAACTGCAGTCCCCTCCTCTGATCCTAACTGGAATTATAATGACCCTGAGCACATCTGGAAAAGGGATCATTTTCTAATCTGTGTGAAGGCAGGAGTAAAAGCAGCTCAACAAAAAGTAATCAGCTATGCCTGGGTCTCAGCAATAACTCAGGAGCCCAATGAGAACCCCAGTGCCTTTCTGGAAAGGCTAAAAGAGGCCCACCAAAATTTACCGATTTGGACTTGGACTCTCATGAGGGACAGGTGATTTTAAAGGATAAATTCCTGCCCCAATGTGCATCAGATATCAGAATTAAGTTACAACAGCTACAGCAGCAGGACTCTGCTGCCTCTCTAGATGAGATGATCCAGACAGCCACCAATACCTTTTATAACAGAGAACAGGAGAAGGAGGCCAAGGCCCAGGAGAGGGAGAGAAGGAAAGAGACAAGGCATGCCCAGATGCTGGCCGCCCCCCAGCACAGCCCTATGGCACACCCCGAGCCCTTGAATGACAAGGCACGAGGCAAATGCCTAATCTGTAGACAGGCGGGGCATTGGGCCAAAGAGTGTCCTAACCATCACAAGTCTCCTAGAACGGCTTGCCACAAATGCCATCAACTGGGACATTGAGCGGCACTCTGCCCTCGGGACCCAAGAGCCTCAAGGTCAAGCGCCAAGCCTTCCCGATGGTTCAAGAGGACTGAAGCAGCCGCTCCAGCCAGCCCGCCTGTCACTGATAACCATCACGGGGCTGGAGCCAAGGGTGCAATTGGATATGGCAGGTAGGTCTGAGAATTTCTTGGTTGACACAGGAGCTACCTACTCTGTCTTGATCTCCTATTCCAGAGCCTTCTCCTCCCAAACCTGTACCATTTTGGGCACTCCAAGAAAAGCAACTACTAAAAGATTCACCCAAGCACTTCTTTGTTGCTGGGGTGGACAGATATTCTCCCACCAGTTCCTGGTGGTCCCTGAGTGTCCTACTCCCTTAACGGGAAGAGACATACTCACGAAACTGGGGACCACCCTTGTGATGGGGAGCTTTTCAGCCCCTAGGGCCCTACAGCTTCTGGTTACTACTGAGGAACCCATTACACCTCCAATAGAGAGGGACCAAAGACTATGGGAGGACAAAATTAACCCCCAGGTGTGGGACCAGGGGATTCCTGGACGAGCCCACCAAGCTGAACCGGTCATCATTGTTCTCCGAGATCCCACTCGGTTTCCTAACCGGAAACAATATCCCCTCAAAAGAGAGGCTCGGGAGGGACTGCAGCCTTTAATAAATAAATTCCTTGCTTATGGGCTATTGGTCCCCACCAGTTCGCCATGTAACACCCCAGTCCTCTCCGTAAAGAAAAAGGATGTAACCTGGCGAATGGTTTAAGATCTCCGGATCACAAATGAATCTGTAGTCGTCTCCATCCCACAGTACCCAATCCCTATGTAATCTTGGGAGAAATCCCCACCAGTGCCAAGTAGTTTACAGTCTTGGATCTCAAAGATGCATTTTTTGGCATACCACTGGCTAAAGAATCCCAGTATCTTTTTGCCTTTAAGTGGGAGGCCCCAGGAGAAAAACTCCAACAAATGACTTGGACAGTATTACCTTAGGGGTTCAGACACAGCCCCTACTTGTTTGGACAGGCCCTTAGCCGGGATCTCCTAGATCTGGACCTGGGACCTAATGGGAAAATATTACAATGTGTAGATGACCTACTAATCTGCTCTCCAGATGAGAAAAGTGCCCAACAACATGCAGTTCAGGTTCTAAACTTTTTGGCAGAAAAGGGATATAAAGTCTCCCATGCTAAGGTACAGATGGTCAAGACAAAGGTCACTTACCTGGGAGTTCAGATTACACATGGGTCTAGGAGGCTGTCCTCTGATTGGGTACAAAAAATCCTCCAGTTGCCCTCCCCCACGACTGGAAAACAACTGCGAGCTTTCCTGGGGCTAACTGGGTATTGTAGAATCTGGATACCCAACTATGGTCTAATTGCCCAGCCCTCATATGAAAGCTTGAAGGGACGAGATGATTCAATCTCACTGATGTGGGAAACTTCTCAAAAGAAGGCAAAGGCTACACTAAAACAGGCCTTAACTCAGGCACCTGCCTTGAGGTTGCCAGATCCAAAAAAAGCATTCCAACTTTATGTCCATGAAAGAGAGGGAATAGCCTTGGGAGTGTTAACTCAAAGGTTGGGATCTGAGCCCCAGCCTGTAGCTTACTTATCCAAGAGACTCGATCCAACCGCCCAAGGCTGGCACCCCTGCCTTCGAAATCTTGTAGCTATTGCAACCATGATAGAAGATGTTTTAAAACTCTCCTTTGGGGGCAAACTAACTATTTTTACCAGTCACCAAATAAAACAACTCCTAAATGGGAGAGGTCATTTATGGATATCTGATCAAAGAATCCTCAGATATCAAGTAATACTGATGGAAAATCCAGGCCTCATTATATCCCCTTGTGAGGTTCTTAACCCAACCACCCTCCTGCCTACCCCCGAGGGCTCTCTCCCCTTTCACTCCTGTCTAGAAACCTTGAACCACTGGACAAAACCCTAAGGGGAATTGTCAGAAGATCCTCTGACCAATTCTGAGGAAATCTGGTATACTGATGGAAGCAGCTTTGTCTTAGATGGAAAAAGAAGAGCCAGGTATGCAGTAGTCTCCAATTTTGAGACCATAGAGGCTAAGCCTCTGCCACCAGGTACTTCAAAAGCCAATTAGCTGAGCTCATAGCCCTGACTTGAGCTTTAGAGCTGGGAAAAAAAAAAGAATAGCCATTTACATTGACTCCAAGTATGCCTTTCTGGTGCTACATGCACATGCTGCTATTTAGAAAGAAAGGGGCCACCTGACCACCCGAGGGTCCCCAATCAAATATGGTGATCAAATCCTTAGGCTCTTGGAGGCAGTCCATCTGCCCGCTGAGGTTTCAGTCTCCCACTGTAAAGGACACCAAAAAGGGAGCATGGAAGTGACATGAGGGAAGCAAGCAGTGGATCAGGCAGCTAAGAGAGCAGTATTAGAGAACAATGATCTAATAAGGGTTGCCACCTTAGTTCCACAGACTAATCTGCCAGAAACTCCTTCGTATACTGAAGGTGAGACTCTTAAAGCTAAGAGTGAGAGCTTTCAAGAAGATCATATGGGGGTGGTTCCAAAAGGAGGGACTCCTTTTCCTGCCTGGGAACCTCCCATGGAAGTTGGTTAACTCCTTACATGCCACCACTCATTTAGGGGAGAAGGCCTCCAAAGATTACTAGAAAGATCCTTCAGAGGAACAGGCTCCCAAACAGCTGTAAGACGAGTGGTCTCCTCTTGTCCCACCTGCCAGTTAAACAACCCCCAAGGAGCTCGAGGACCCCAGCTGGCCCAGCCCGTCCAGCGACGTGGGGCCTATCCAGGAGAGGACTGGCAGGTGGACTTCACCCAGATGCCAGTTTCTCAAGGGTATAAATACTTATTAGTCATGATAGATACATTCACAGGATGAATCGAAGGCTTTCCCACCTGGACTGAGAAGGCTGAGGGGGTGGTAAAAAAAAAAAAAACTGCTCCATGAAATCATTCCAAGATTTAGTCTGCCCAGATCATTACAAAGCGACAATGGGACATCATTTACTTCTAAGGTCACCCAAGGGGTCTCTAAAGCATTGGGCATTACTTATCTCCATTGTGCCTGGAGGCCTCAGTCTTTAGAAAAAGTAAAAAGAGACAATCAATTCTTAAAATCAGCAATAAAAAAGATAACCCAGGAGACCTCCCTGGGATGGAAGGAGGCTTTACCAATAGCTCTCCTCTGCACCCGTACTGCCCCTAAGGAACAGGTTGGTCTTAGTCTTTATGAGATGCTCTATGGGAGACCTTTTGTTCATGTCAATGACCTCTTCCTAGATCCAGAGGCTCAGACCCTCCAGTCTTATACCATGGCCCTTGGGCAATTCCAACAGGATATACGCTTGTGGGGTATGAACCAGGACCCAAAAGATTCTAAAGAGTCACCACTACATGCTCCAGGGACTCAAGTCCTAATTAAAGTCTGGAAAGATGGGTCCCCAAAGGCTCAACTCCAGCCCACATGGAAGGGCCCCTACCCTGTAATACTTTCTACTCCCACAGCGGTCAAGGTGCCAGGACATGACTCCTGGATTCACTACTCACAAGTCACGCCATGGAAGAAAACAGAGGACACGCAATACAGCTGTGAGCCCCTGGGAGATCTCAGATACCTATTCAGAACTACAAATGAGTGCCATTCTAATGAACACCCCCAAAACCTGGTCTCTGGGGATAAGGTTTCTCAGGACAGCTCTACAGAGCCAACACAGCTTGACAGGGATAGTACTCCAAAATAGACAGGAGATGGATCTTCTAATCCCTAAACAAAGAGGGACTTGAGCCATCCTGGTGATGTAAATTTATAATTGGCTAATGCCCCTACTAGTCCTTGCTATGCCATACTGATGCTGCTTATGACTGTTCCATGTACTGTCAATTGTCTAACCTGTCTTGTCTCTGCCCAGGTCAAGCTGCAACATGCAGTGCCAGTTCAACAAAGATATAAAACTACAGCCGACCATGGAAAATATCTCTCACCCTTAGATGGACACCACTATGAGGACTCTGAGGCTTGAGACTAGCAAGAGGGGGAGGCCCAATGCCCCTCGCTGTTCCAGTTCAGCAGGAAGTAGCCAGAGAGACCTCGA